CTCTGTGGTTGAGTCGGTTTTGTGGCAGCAAGACAGGAAAAAAGCAAACTTCACCATAAGTACTTTCAAATCCCAGAGTGGCAGCATTCAGAATCATACTATTCTTGTTGGCCGTTCACAGGTAATCTGAGGCTTTAAACTCGCACTTTACAGCGCATGAAGGCGTCTATGGCTATGATCCGTTAAATAGGCACCCAGAGACCTTTATATGTGGGCAACAGAACGGCTGCAGAGTAGAGGGCTCAAGAGACAGTAATTCTAACATGCCTCTGTATGGTTGTGACTCAAGTGGTGCAATAGAGTACTTTCATTACACAAACCTACTACCTTTACAAAATACAGATTTTAATGAAGGGTGTCTACAAAAAAAGTCATTTTCTCTTTCTGGCCTAAAATAAGTTAAAGATCAGTAAACAAGAAATTTTAAAGGAGGATATAGCCCCACTGACACAGGAAGAAAATATTGAACAAGAATTACAGATGGAGTATATGGGGCTGCAAAATCTCTGTAATTGTTTTGTGTTGTTTGTGGGTTTTTTGTTTTTGTTTTTATTCTATCCTCTCTCTTTGAGTAGACCTTTACTGTATGAAGAGAATATCAAAATATTTTCTGACTTAATATCTCCTACCCTGTAAAGAGCTGATTTGTGGTTACTTCTACACTGGAGGAGTCTACACTGTCACGACATGACAATACTAGATCGTTCACAGTATAATCAATGGAGCTGTCTAAACTGTAAGTGTCTGATATGCTCTTTTGTGCTGAAAATGCCTTCAGTTGACAGACAAGCACCAGTCATGTTCTGTTCATTTTAGACAACTACAGTGCTGCAGTGATGACATATTTTTGTAGGCCAACCAAAAAGATTACATCACCCTAGCTCCTTTGACAGAAATAGGATTTTTCCATTGGCTTTTGTATTATTGCACAAAACAGAACAACAATAGTTTACAATTCTTACAGTTCATCATAATAATCTGCACAACTGGATCTAAATACAAATATATATATATAAAATCTATAGAAGTTTTAGTTAAAGTTTTCTGATAAATGACTAAATAAAATAAATAAAGTTTTGTTTGCAATAGCATGATTATAAACACAAACAGGCTGCCTGCCGGTCCGTATACTTTTGCGTCCATTCATTTTTCCTTTTTTAACACTTAGAAATGAAATATGGAAAATCTTTATTCTTTAATGGTTCTGACACTAATTAATAGAACAAGCAGGCACAAACTAATTTTCATTATTCAAAATTATTATTTCATTAAAAACCATAAAAATGATAAACAGCTTGTTTTTTAGTGTATATAAATGCTCAATTTAATTTCTAGCTTTTTTGCGTCTCTATAGACACGCTAAAAGTGCCCTCTAGCACTATACAGACGTGGCTACCGGTAACCGATTGCTTTATTAAAAACCTCTGCCGTCAGTATTGAAAGGCATGAAAATTTTTATGATCATATAGCTAGTTTCTCAAAATATCTTGATTAGGTTTTTTTCACACCTAAAATATGTGTGATATAGTCATTACATATTTAATTATTTGCATACAATCAGCTGTTTGTATCCAAGTACGGTCTACAGGGATGCTAAAGGTGCTAAGCACCCTCAAACGAAAGCAAGGGCACCCTCAATTGAAGCTGTAAAAATATGGCGAACATATTTAGCAAACACTCCAGTGTGTATTTGCGTTTGCACTCTGGAGAGCTTTAAATATTTCTATTTACAACGTGTTTTTGCAGCATTGATCCAATCACAGACATACAGTAGGCTATCTGTTGATTTCTTGAATGCAATGGCCAAGCAGAGGTGTTTTCATTCAAAATCCACTCACCACTCAAAATGCCGCAGTTTTGATCAATGCTGACTGCTGAGAGCTCACAAATCCTCTCATTATAATAAAGTGTAGACACAATGTTAATAAGAGAAGTGGTCCTTGCAAACTTTCCTAGTAATCCATTCGTTTTTTTTGTTTTTTGTTTTTTCTTATGCTGCTAAAAGGACCGGAGGCCACTTGCACGAGGGTAAAAATCACGTAAATCTTGGGCCCTTGGAATCGTCCTAACCTTCCGGATTTTGGTGTGTGATAAAGTGTGTGAACCTAGATGTTTGTGACATTACACCGGATGTGTTATTTTCAGGTACAGTAAGTAGCTAGTAGCACCAATAGTGTGAGTTGAAGGTGGAACTACCTTTTGGAACAATCAAAACAGACAGGAGTCATGGTCAAATGATCAGTAGAAATGTTTGGGAAGTGTATTTGGAAACTTGTTTTTTTTTTTGCAGTTTCATTAGGTGCTACTAGCAGTGCATTACACACAATTATACACAAAGTTCAAATCAAAGTTCAACTGAACAGCAATGCAGTGTGGTAACCACCAAAGGAAATGCAGACAATGGCACTCACATGATCTTTCCCTTGATACAGTTGAATACTGCAGTAAAGTAGTAATAACTACAGCCAAACAACAGTGCAGCAACTTAAATTAAATCGCTGTCAGTGTAAAAGCACGTTAACTAAGGACAGCAAATCTATTGACGCTAGCAAAACTGCAAAAAATACTGTAAGCAGAATATATTGACTTTAATCAAAACTCACATCAAGTGTCAGCTGCTGACACTTTGTTGACACTTCGTTGACAATTTCCTTGATTCAAGAATCACAGAGGTGTTAACACGTTTCAATCTCAATGCTTCTCTCAGCTGTTGCTAAGTAACTCTGTCACGGTCTTTCTTTTGTTGTAAGAGACAAGGGAAGAAACGAGGAGTTTTACGGTGTAGTTTTTAGTTTTCGAGAATGACCTTAGGTTAGATCAAAACATGACAAGGTTATGCTCTGGAATCTCACGCAAGACTGTGTGGAATGACATGAAGTGTCATGCTGTGGAAGTGTATGTGTGGTGCATATAAGGTACCTTGTGTTAAGAAACCCTCAGGAGAAAGAAGCAGAAGTCAGAAAGGTCAGATGCCGCTCAATGAGATTCTCAACTAGAATTCTGGAGTCTGTTTAGATGTTTTAAGCCTTTTATTGCTATTAAAAACCATTCTCCTGAATGAAAATCCAGGCAAAAATAATATTTGGCATTGTGACATGATGGTACATTGGGCAAAATGACCTGAAATGGTCTGATGAATAAATGCTGGGCTATCGCTGTTTTCAGTGGAAATTACATAGTTGGCTGTCAGAACACTGTCACTACAGTTTTTCTTACTTACCAGAACAAGAAAACCCGGCAGCCGAGGTTTTTAAACAGCACATTCTGAACAGAAAATCCCATGAATGATATTGAATGATAAATATTGCCAACAGTCACTTAGAGCTCCTCAATAACACACTGCTGGTTGTGAGTAGTGTTGGCACAGCGTGGTTTGAGCTGGCACATCCAGGTCACTTTTACTAAAACACTACATGAACATTTATCCTAATTAGATCCAAAGCAAAGCTCTGCGATTAGCACTTATTACAGTACTCTCATAAAAGTTTATTCCGTTCATAAAGCCACTGATACATTGGTAATGCCATGGTTAAAATGAACAAGCATGTTTAAAACAAACTTGAAATTAGATGTAAACACAGACCTTTTAATAAAATAAACAACATAAATTAATTCAAGTATCTTCAAGATGCAGCCATCCAAGTTTTAGCACATTGAGCTCATAGAGAATTTACCAAACATACTCTACCAGCAGCAATATTAAAAATCCCTTTCATCAGCACTGCACATCAGACAGCTCAGACGCTGAGGTTCATATTTGCATCTACACAATATGGCTCATAAAAGTTATGCAAAAGAGACTTGTGTCCCTTAAGTTGATAGGTGATCTCAGCTTTTAGTTCAGAACAGGCAACTACAGTCTAGTATAATGCAAAGCATTTACTCAAACAGTAAGCATTTCTAATTCCTAACTCTATAATACTCATAAAACCATACACCTAACCTTTAACCCTAAACCTGACTCCAATTTCAACACCTAACCCCTTAATACTAACTCTTTCCCTTTCTAAATCATTCTTAGGGGGGCATTCACACAGGACACATTCCATTTGCACGATTTTTAAGCTCTTCATCTACAATTTTTATGCATTTATTTTTTTCTGCAGAATGGCATATTAAAAAAAAAATATTAGGATGCGAGCTTGTCAATTGCATGTGACAACTTTATATTGTGTTGTCCTTCCTGACTGCATGCACACATGCATGTTTTGTTTGTTCGGCAACACGTTACTTAAAGCCTATATTTATAATGAATTATAAAAGTAGTTTTAATGTATTAATTATCCCTTATAATATACCTTATAATGCATTGTATGATCTCATGAATAATTGTAACCACAGTTCTAATACATTATAATACTTATCTATTCATTGTTACACGTTTAGAACATATAAATGCATTAAAACACATGACATACAAACCTTCAAATAATATAATGCATTTTAACTTTGGTTATAATTATTTATGAAAAGATATAATGCATTAGAGAACACATAATGAATAACTTTACAATACGTTATACATAAAGGCTTTAAGTAAAGTGCTACCTGTTTTTTTTTTTTTTTTTTTTAATGAATAATTCAAACTGATTTGTCAATCAAATGAAACATACACAAGGTCCCCCACACTGGAATACAAATCTCTGGCTGTTGCAACACTTTTTTCCCCCTCACGATATGAATGTTTTCAGGTGCCTTGAAAAGTTAAAAGCTGTTCAATCTGTCAAGATCCTGTGTGAACGACCCCATATTGTTAAAATTTTAATTCTGAGAAGAATTTAAAATAGACTAAATGAGCTAAAATATAAAGTTACTATTAAGAAAGTGACATCACGTTGTATATTAATCGATAAAATGATTTAGGGAAAAACTGTGAAAAGGAAATTACACCATGGTTAAAAATAAAAAAAACAACTTGAACATGACCTTTTTCTTTTTCCATGACACTGAAAAAGTCACTGGAATCCATTGAATAAAATGTGTCTTGAAAATAAATTCATGTTCTTCATCTTTACAAGCATTCTAAAGGAGATAGCAACGCAGCAGATATTTTACAGCGAACAGGAGGCAGGGACTGCTCGATCATATGCATCTGATGCATTAACAATGCAGATGGGCAAATCCCCTTAAATATGCTGCTGGAGTTTGCGAAGGTCTCAGACGTTATGCCCTCAGGTCTGGATATCTAAAGTCTGGATATGGTCTCCCCCAGCAGGTTTCGGAGTACAGTGGCCATCAGAAGTGACCCATCCGTGCGGTAAAGACGCTTCGGGGGTGAGTGGAGGACGTCGAGCGGCCGAAGCTAGATGACGGCCACTTGATGATGAACTGGGAGGTGACTGGCAGCAGATACCTACACAGACGGAGAGAGGAATCAGACATGGGGGTTGGCCAGACTCAAAAACAGGATTAGACGCACAAAGGTCAGCTAAAAAGATCAGGCACTTTTCCTCCCTCTCCGCTTCCAATCCTCCTCCAGCTGATGCTTTAGATTCCGGTCCCCTCCGCTGACCCTCACGTTTACACTGTGCCGTTTTTAACAATGAGTGACACGAGTGGCTGAACGTGACTTGTTTTAACAGATAAGAACTTGTTTAATGCACAGGATGTTCTGAGAGAGGATAACAGGTTAGATAATTATGGCCTACACAGAGACAAGGAGGGTAACCATCCTGGACAGCTGACGACCCACACTATCTAACTGCAGAGCAGCTTATTTATAATTCCACTCGAAGCAAGGCAATTTAAACTGTTAATTAATTAAATAACAGTGACAATAAAACACAAGTTGTGCTCAATACACTGAATACACAAAATAGCTTAAATAAACAGCTAGCTGCCTTTTTTTATTTTAGTAGTGGTAAATAAAAAGTTTTTTGGGGGAATGACAAATATGGATGTCTATATAGTTCATACATTTCTAATAGTTAGTAATGAACTCAAGTTCTTTTCATATGTTCTGTTTCATATGTTTTTGCAAAAGTTAAAGATTTAGGTTTAGATTTATGTATGTAAAAGACAGTTGTAACCAATCATAAATAATAAAATGTAAATATGAATAAATTTTAAAAAAAGTATGAATTTCTTTCTTCTGCAGAACACAATAGAAGATATTTTGAAGAATGTTGCCAACCAAACAATTTCTTGTCCCCATTGACTTCAATACCATTTTTTCCCCCATACAATGTAAGTCAATGGTTTGGTTATTCACTTTCTTCAAAATATCTTCTTTTATGTTCAGCAGAAGAAAGCAACTCATACAGGTTTGGAACAACTTGAGGGTGAGTAAATGATGACAGAATTGTCATTTTTGCGTAAACTATCCCTTTAATACCTAAGTATTTTTCAAGAAATTCATTTATTCAGATATATTTTATAACAATTCAAAAATTGAAAAGGTTGTGTATTCAAGTGTATTCAAATCATTGTTTGTATGAATGGATATTTAAAAAAAAAAAAAAAAAAACAATAGTAGGAGTGTCGCGTGTCTTTTTAATTAAATCACACGAAGCAAGCCCAGAAAGTGGCTTTGTACGAATGCAACGCTGTAGTTATGACAGCAAAACATAATGCCAGTACAAATTAGGACCGCTTCTTATCTAACAAAAGAAGATTTGTTCTAAAGCCCCTGCTGCAGAAAGAATCTACTCATGATACTGCACTAGGCATGTATTTGCAATGCATTTACTCCAATCGGTAATGCATAATAATAAATGCAGATGTCCTGCATTGTGTGTTATGGAGCATAAAACCCTGGACAATGATGAATATCGATAAATATGTCCAATGCACACATTGAGCCACCTTTCACATTATGCGCACGTAATCTTTCCCTATGTTCCTTTCATTAAAGCTTTAAAAATCAGACCCAATGCTTTGGTTCTTCCCTACGGGAACTCCAGACAGGTGAGTTCTCAGGAAATGGTTTTGGGTTGGGGTTGAGCCTCATTACCATATTTTATACTACAGACTGCTGAGTTTGGTCAACAAAAGGAAATGTCAAAGGAATATGAAATTCAAATATGAACATATATGGAGGTGAGCCTTTCTGGCTCTGAAGAATTCCCTGTAAGGAAGTCTCATCCATGAGAGAGCTCCATCATGCAGGGTCCAATCAGGCTGCAGGCAGTGTTTAATTGGACCTCTGTGAGGATTCCTCCAGGTCTTTGGCTTTTGATCATTGAGCAGTTCTTGGAAAAACCTGCCAGTGCAAAGCCCCTAGAGAACCGCCAGCTGTCTAACCTTCGAACGTGTGTGTGCTTTACTAATTACACTCAATCGCTCGGAGATCTGCACATATCTCACGTCTGTTTGCTTGTTTAAAGCCTACACTCTATCACCCAACTGCCACACGCTGCATAAAACTTTGAGAGGGTACTTTTAGACACTTTGAGAGAAAATGGAGACTTCCTTATCCACCAAATATCATATTACGGTTCTCAAAAGTTAAGAAAGGTTTCCGTAGTTTTACATCCTGATAAAAATTCTCACAAAACTTTCCGTTTTATCTTATGCAACCATGTTGTTGTGCAACCATGAAAGTGTCCTGCTTTCATTCATTCTAAAATTATTGTACAGGTTGCTATTACTTTAAATGACTAAACACTGAATTCTAAAGAGTTTGGTGGTAATAGCTTACATGTAACCCCTTTTTGAAGTAATGCTTTATTAAAACTTCACCATAATGCCCAAGTTCTGTTTTCAAATGCATAACAGATGTAACTTTTCTTCTTATTTATCAACATAAGACTGTACACTGCAATCGAGCAGTAAGCACAAACTAGATTGCTCAAATTATAAATGAATATATCTACAGTAATTAGTTACTTTTTTTAGGAGTAATGCAACAATGTAACTTTTAAAAGTAAAGTTTTGCACCACTTTGTGTTTATGATGGGTAAATCACGTACCGTATCTCCAAAACCTGAAAAAATTCCAAATTACAAAAATGTAGCGTGGGACTTTTTGGATTTTGTTCATATAAAATTGATTGGATGGTAAAACACATTGGCATTGCATACATATAACAGATGGTTAGAGGCGGGGCATACAAATAAAAGGATTTGGGTGATGTCAAATGAAAAGTAGTTTTTTTTTCAGGCAGAGCAAGTTATTATATTTTGATCAAAGATTCCAAACACATTTCTTGGAATTGATATATGTGTGCTGATATATCGTACAATCTGGAAAACGAAGTATATGAGGTGAGTTTTGATTTTGTATTGACTTATGGTTACAGTTAATCTCTTGGACAAAGTGCACATTTCTTGTCACTTGACCTCTTCTCCTTCTAGCCAAGAGAGAGGACAGTCACCTGATGGATCTGAACAAGGAAGGTGGAGGAGGCGATGGAGTAAGAAGCGAGGATGAGACTGTTACCCAGGCATCAATTTCCTAACGAGGCAAAGCAGATGCTGGCTGATTGAAAAATAACGGATCCCCAAGGGCCGTTCCAGCAATGAGTCGTCAATGAGGCATGTCCTGAGAGAACACAAGTGTGAGAAGAGAGCGGATATTGGCTGGATGGAGAGGGGAGAGGATATTGAAAATGACTGGCTGGTCTCTCCATGGAAATCCAGCAAAAAAACAAAAAAGAAGCAAGCAGGTGGACAAAGGTTCAAATCCAAAACCAAAAGATACAGCCCAAGGGGATAGAATCACAGGATGAGAGATGTCCAGCAAACACGGCAGTCAACAAGTCAGGGTCGAAAGACGGAATTCAAACTAAATAATTCTGCATGATTCTAAGTTACACTAAAGTCCTTAAGCTTATGTAGGTTATGTAGGAAACTGTGTTGGCAAAGGCACTTACAATGCAGGCAAACTGTTCAATATTTCAACTTTGTTGTCATGCCATCACAATAAAGTTAAACCCTGTAATCTCAGGTAAAATTCATACAAAATCTGCATAAGCACGTCAAAAAGGTGGATGAATTACATTGAGCTGATCAGCTCTAATAATACAACATTTTCTATCAAATAAAAATAAAAATGCTCTGCGCAAAAAAGGTATGGTCATAGGAGAGAAATTCTGGTGATATTTGGTTGACAAAAAGTCCCTTATCCATTGTTAACAGTGTTGTGATGCGTAAAGCACATCTCAAACAGAAGTCACTTTCAAACCAAGAAGCTTTCTGTTGGTCACACTGAATTTATAAGAAAATAAATCTGTGTGGGGAACTTTTTCACCCTCACATGAAACTCCAGATGATGTGGATTTCTATTGAAATTACTGGATTTTAAAAATACTAATCCAAGTAATTTTTTTCAGTATATTGTACTTTTGCATTCAAAAAATAACTAAACACCCTTAACACAAAATTTATTTGCTTTAATGTTAAATAGATGAGATTTGTTTTCATAGAATGTATTGTAAATATTTTTAGGTGACATTCATACTTAAGAATAAAAATAAATAGTTTTTAATATAATAATAGATAGCAATGGTAAATGTGACCGTATTTTAAGAATCAGTGTGATTTATTGTGTCTAGTGATTTGTAATTCTTGAGTAAATGTAATTTTATAGTGTTATAAGCACCTCTTTATGTATAAAAACCACTTCAGTTGCAGCTTCTGTTCCACCTTTGCAGTGTAAAGACCTAACAAACCCGATTCAGCTAATCACATTTGTAGAAATCTGAATTGAACATGTCAAAGAAATAGAAACAAAATGTGTCTGTGTCTGTGTAACTGTGTCTGAGCATGTGGAAAGTTTAGACTAGAATCTCTGAGTTGTCATTTCATAATTGTCGTAAATTCAACGTGAATGCAGTATCAGTAGAGTTTAGTCCCAGAGTTTGCAAAAGTTTAAGATGTGGACGTCCCCTGCTTTAAATGAGGTTGCATGATGCAATGAACCACTTGATTTTCTTTCATTATTGAACTTTCACATCAAATGCCGTTCTGCAGTGTCAACTGTACTAATGGTGATGTGAGTGTCAGTACGTTCTTATAGCAGTGTTGTCATGCACACTTGATGAAGTAACTATACCTTGTGTCATCCCAGTCTGGGCTAAGTCCACTGAGCGAACCACGGGAGTCAGCCACAAACTTGTAGACTACAAGCAGGCAGTCTCTACACAACTGGACGACACGCTGGCAGCACCTCAGCTCCTGCGCGGTCACCACCTCACTGCTCTTACTGAAAACACTCTCCCATGATGGCCTGCTGGAGGAAAATACACACATAAATCCTACAGTCTACATTATATATCATGGTATGCATACTTTTATAACATAGTAACAGAATGACATAGTTATCTTTTAAAGATTCAAAACAGTAAAAAAATGGATGTCACATTTTACAAGGTGAAATTAAATAAAAATAAGAAGGAACTGGATGAATATTCTGAGTGATGCCAGTCCAGTCTTCCTTGTGTTGCAGCCTCAAAATAAACCACGCCATGTTGGTTCATCTGGCCAGAGGAGAACTGGCCCCCTGACTGAGCCTGGTTTCTCCCAAGGTTTCTTCTCCATTTCTATCACTGATGGAGTTTTGGTTCCTTGCCACTGTCGCCTTTTGGCTTGCTTAGTTGGGGACACTTAATATTTGGCAATATTGTGGGCTTGTTTGCACAGACACTATTTGAGGAGAACTGAACTGAGCTGGACGATGATATCACTGAATCAACGATGAACTGACTTTAACTGGAAAATGTACTATAAATTTACTATTGTCCTCTTTTTAGAACTGCTTTACAGCAGATTTTTTTTTTCTGCATTACTGAAAAACTATTTTCCTGACTAAGCCAGAGTTACATTTTTGTACACTGAAAAAAAAATGGGATAACAGATACAATTTTGTTTCTCTTTCTAAACTTCATTTCTTTGCTTTTGATTAATGTAATTCTTTTAATGTCTTGAGGAGTTTTTGCTTAGGTTAAGGTACATAAAGAGTATGTCTTTGTTGCTTTACTTAAGCTGTTTACGTAATATATTAAACATGCTATTATGTGCTCTTGCTTGCTGCTAGTTTATGCCAAGTTACATTACAATTCAGTGATGTGACAAAAATATATAAATTAAATTGGATGAATTAAATCCTGTCAGGGATCTGTATAAAATCACTTTGATACTACTTAATCTGCTCAAGTGAACAAATTATGTTTGTGTTACTTAATTGATTCATTTACAACCAATGTATGATTAAATCATGCAAATCCAACACACTTTTTCAGTGCATGATCTTTATAACAAATAATCTTTTTTACTTTGTATAAGTATTTTTTGTCTTTGCAAAAAAAAATATATATATATAATATAATATAAATATATATATTTGATTAATATTAAATCAAAATTAAAGATTTGAACCAAATCATAAATATAATTTAATAAAAATTCATTTGGCTGTAACAAATTAAAGTTGTTGTTTTTTTTGTATTTTTGGTTCACTGTATCATTCTTTCAATGAAGGATGTTGACATATTTTCACTGGAAAATAAGACAAAATTCAGAATAAGTAACCATTTTTAAACTTTAGATTTATACTATCATATATACTATCATAGACGCAATAAAGGTCATACTTTCAGCTTTTACAAAAATAACTGGAACAAACCATGAAGGTTAAAAGATTTGATTCTCGTTCATTTGGCTTTTGTTGAAGAAAGAAACGATAAAAAGTCTTTTCTCTTTTGGTGTAGGAAATGAGGTTTCATTGTAGAGATGATGAAATGTAACTTCTAGGGTTTTGAATTGTACATTACAGGCAGGGAGGCTCTACAGTACTCTCCCACTGCTATCTCCTTCCTGTGCTAACGGCTCACAGGCCACCTTCACACGTCAGTCCCTGATTAAACAGAAGCAGCATGGGTCGCTGGCACTGCCTCTAATCCCCTAGAGCTGTGTTCGCTCTCATCAACTCCAAATGGTCTAAACCTGGCTATATAACATCCTTCACTCTGTGGCAATTACAAGAGTGATTGGGCCACACAAAGCCCCTGAGAAGCACTCACAATGACTGGAGGAAAAAGGCGGTCAATAAGAAGGTGTCCCCGCTGTTTGCGCTCAGAACTGATAAAATCGCAGCATGTAAAGCTCTATGTGTATTATAACAGCAAGCGTGTATGCTTCTATGTGCGGCTCTCTGAGGAAGTAAAAGTCTATATCAAGACTTACGATTGAGTCAATAAAGACAAAACAGAGACCATTTTTCTCATGGCCGGGGTTATGTTCTGTCTAAATGCGTTTTTACATTAAACACTCTTCCCAGCTAATTTTAAGTGACATTTACAAGTGAAATAATTAATAAATGAAGGACATTTAAAACTAGACATGACACAAACTAGACAAACTAGGAATATTTTTCGCTTATTATTCTTCATAGAGCTGGGGAAGCTCTTGCCAAGTTACACACTACTTTTGCAATATTTTAATTGGCCTTGCCACTATAATGATTGTATTTTTTTGGCAAAATATATATTTCTGACACATACAAATTAGGCAATATCACAGAAGAAAGAGTACTGTTGTTCTGAATATTAGCACTGTTTTGACTTGGCCACAGTAAATCACAGCGGTACTGATATTCTGACCAAGAATACAATTATGGGTGTGATATTGTTTTTACACAACAGTTCAATAAACAAGAAATTTTAAGAAGACACATTTTTTTCTTTGAAATGATGTGCCAAGAAAGTAAATTAATAAAGTAAAGGTAAATAGACTTAACTGTAATTCCCTGTCAGTCGGTCACTACAAGTCACGTCGTGACCGACAAATCTACTTCGAGTGTAAACTAAACGAGCCAATGGACATTGGCATGCGATGATTGCATCCAGCTGCCGCTGATCACAGCATGAGCATAAAAAGGTAGCAGGTGCAACGCATACCAGCTTTTTGCTTCGGAGCTGAGCGATAATATCGTTCTGCTCCTGCCATATCTTCGTTTGTGACGACGAGTTCAACGCGCTATAGGGAGATTTTTGTGTTGGCGGACGGGGCTTCAGCAGTGGTCGTTCCTGTGTCGAGTGGGTTGCGCACTTCATGCTGCACTACCCCCTGTTGTGCTGCAAGCGGCCATCTCCCCTGTGCGTCTCAGCACCTAAAAGAGCAATTCCCTGAAAGAGTTTACATGGGTACGTCTTTGTAAAGACAACAGATCGTCTTTTTAAAGATGCCGTTTCACCCATGCGTTTCTGGATGCGGTCGTTACCTGGCGCCGGGTGATGGTCACGATCGCTGCCTCACATATCTGGGCATTAAACACACTGAGGTGGCATTCGTGGATGAGTCATGTTCCCATTGCGGGAAGATGACCATCTCGGAGCTCTGTTGCCTCTGCCTAGTGTTTTAGTGTTCGTCCTGGCGGCAGCCAGGCGAGGACTAATTCGGGCAGTAGCACGGGCGGTCTGAGGGTCACAGTGGTGGCAAACTCTTCAGGGAACCAACCCTCGTGGGACCATCACTCCTCTAGCGCTTTGCAACCAGCCGAGCTGCCAAAGGAGCTGGGCCCTCTTCGAAGAGTGTACCAGCGGTATCCTTCGGTGCTCCTCCCGACGACCGGATGTTGCTCACTGCATCGGAGGGAGACCTCTCTGGAGAGGAAGATTCGGCTGCGCTGCCACCCTCCGGGACGGTGGCAAGGCCTGAATCAGATCCGGAGATGTCGGCTATGATTTCCCGGGCCGCCGAGAGCGTAGGGCTTGAGTGGAAACCTCCACCACATCCCGAGCCCTCGAGGTTGGATGATTTTTTTCTCGGGGTGGCTGGTTCTCAGTGCCCCCCCCCGGTGCCTTTCTTCCCAGAGGTGCATGAGGAGCTTACCAGGTCTTGAACGGCACCTTTTACTGCCAGAAACTGACCTGCTGGTTCCTCCTCCCTCACCACCCTTGATGGTGGTGCAGCTATGGGGTATACGGCGATCCCCCCAGTGGAGCGGTCGGTAGTGATACAGTTGTGTCCTAATACCGCCTCCTCCTAGTGGGGAAACCCGACGCTCCCCTCCTGGGCCTTTCGTCTGGTCTGTCCGGCGTTGCTTATATGGCGGTGCTCATACGGAGAAGCTGCCTCCGCCTTACACGCTATGGCGTTACTGAAGGCACTGAAGGACCTGCACGAGAGTGGTCACGATCCGGAAGTTCTGAAATAGCTCCGAACCGCTACTGACCTCGCGCTCCGAGCGTCGAAGGTCACCACAAGTTCTCTGGGTCGTGCGATGTCCACACTTGTGGTCCAGGAGTGCCATCTCTGGCTGTGTCTGACCGACATGAGGGACGCCGACAAAGTTCGGTTCCTCAATGCCCCTGTGTCCCAGACCGGCCTCTTCGGCGACACGGTCGAGAGCTTTGCCCAGTAGTTCTCGGCTGCACAGAAGCAGACTGAGGCGATACGTCACATCCTGCCCTGGCGGGCAGCTGCTGCCTCCACCCGTCTGCCGGCCACAGCGCCCCAGCCTGCTCGTCCACCCCCGCTCCCGTGCCGCATCCACAGCAGCCTCGAGCAAGCGGCACCGTGGAGCTGGGTGTAGGCAGGCCGCCCTGCCCGTCCAGGCCCCGTCAAACCTGGCGGTGAGCAGAAGAGCAAGAATCCCCGGGACAGGCGACCCAGAGAGGGAGGGAACTGCTCTTTGGGGGATGGTGAATGCACCTCTCCCTCCCCCGGAGGAGGGCCGGATGGAGAATCTGGTTTCCAAAAATCTCAACGAGAGAGCAGTTTTCTCTATCTCTGGGTCCCAAGAGGGCACGGAGAGTTGCGAACAGACCAACACCGGACCACACTCATCCTCCGTCGCCAGCAGGCAGCAGCGGGCGGTTCGAGAGCGTCAACAAAGGCCCTACTTACACACCCTCTGCCCAACCGTGGAACCAGTTAAGTGTTATTGTGCTTCACACAAGGTTAAATCCTCCCCGGCCACCCTCTATACCCTCTTGGGACCTGTTTCTAGTGCTCAAAGCACTACAGCAGGGCCCATTTGAGCCTTTGCAGTCAGTTGAGCTGAAGTTTCTATTAATGAAAACTCTGCTCCTGCTTGCACTGGCCTCCATCAAGAGGGTAGAGTACCTGCACGCATTTTCGGTCGACGATTCCTGCCTACAGTTTGGGCCGGCTGACTCCCAGGTAATCCTGAGGCCCCGGCCCAAACACATTTGCTAGATTCTATAGCCTTTGTGTGTAGCCGGTATCCTCCTGTGTTCTCACCTCAAACGGGTAGAAGCACTGAGAGGCCCCGGTTTAGTGTTGGCTTGCTAAAACCGCTCTAGAGAGTCCGTACTGTAGACCCTGTCGAGCGCCTCCATCCCCTCGGCAGCCAGACGTGGTGGAACGTTTGGCGCCAGGCCCTCACTCGATGAATCCGTGAGAACCAGTAGAGGGCTGGGTTCCATATGTAAGGACCTAAGTGGATCCCATATGTGTAAAGTCCACAGTTTAGCCTCAGAGCCCTTGTTTCCCCGGCAGACTTCTGCCATTTCCAAGAGGGTTACAATCACCTCTAATCTTCCATATGCACCTAAACGGTTGTACGTTTTCCCAGTGTTATCCAATCTCACTGAGTGGGTAGTGCTACGACAACGGTGACTGGTCTTCTTGTTGCAAGCCCAGGCCTACACCAAAAAGGGGGTGCAGGAGGCTCGCACAGGACACTGGAATGGGCAGCATCCATGGCGCTTTGATAGGGATCCCAATTCGTCGGTCACAACGTGACTCGGAGTGACCGACTGAAAGGGAACATCTCGGTTACATATGTAACCCTCGTTCCCTGAAGGAGGGAATGGAGAAGTCACGTCCCTTTGCCACGGCTGCTGTACCACCGCTGAGTGGCCGGCTTATCGGCTCCTCAGCGAAAACCTGGTATGCGTTGCACCTGCTACCTTTTTATGCTCATGCTGTGATCAGCGGCATCTGGATGCAATCATCAAATGCCAATGTCCATTGGCTCGTTTAGTTTACACTCGAAGTAGATTGGTCTCTCGAAGCGAGATCCCAATGCGTCAGTCACGACGTGATGTCTCTGTTCCCTCCTTCAGGGAATGAGGGTTACATACATGACGTTCACTTTCAGTCGGTCACTATGAGTCACGTCGTGACCGACGAATTGGGATATCGCTTCGATAGACCAATCTACTTCGAGTGTAAACTAAACGAGCCAATG